TGCAAAACTGTCTCGGGGGCCCCAAATGTAATTTTTTAAAAGTGTGAAACCTTCTCGAGGGTCCCAATAGTTTTTTTTGTAAAATGTAAAAGCTTCTCGGGGGCGCCAAATGTTTTTTTAGAATGTGAAACCTTCTTGGGAGTCCCAAGTGTCTTTTTTAAAAATATCATCAAATGATCATTTTTTCGAAAAATTTGAGAATCCAGTAATGTTGCCCCGCCTACATTTAATAATAATATCAGAAGAATTATCACAATAGCAGCTAGATACTATAATATATTTTTTCCCGTAGGCGAGAGGCTACGGGGATGTTATTTACTACCACTGCATAACATGCTTGTTTAATTGTACTTTACAGACTATACCTATCTTTATTTTAGGTTCTAGTTGTCATAAAATACAAATAAAATTCACAAAATTAAACAATATTCAATTTCTTCTTGGGAGTGTTTTACACTTTTTTTTTCCTTTTTTAGATGAAAAAAATATTCTCATCTTTCGACGTATCAGTTAGCACAAAACTGCGTTTGATTCTAAAAATTAATCAAACCTCCAGTAGAAAACGAAATGTCATTGAACTTAAAAGTATTTAATGTGCGTGAAATCAGCAAAGAATTGATAATTTCAAGGTAATTTTGTTGCTTTTACGACGCACACTTCACAACTTAATCGGAAACACAGATTTACAAAATTAATTGTGGTGGAAAGAATGTAAGATTCCACAGTAACACTCCAAAAAATACAAAAGACTGAATTATATGAATCAAACTATCAGCAGACAATACGTAAACGAAAGACCTACTTTTTCATATTCGAGAATCTACGAAAATATGAGGTCAGCTATTCGTTAAGTTGACCCCGTTACAACACTTCTGCAGCTTACCCTCAGGACGTAAAACGGAGAAAATCAATGTTCAGATTTTTTTCATAGATATGATTTTTAATGTGAAATTTATAGCAAGCTGAACAGAATAACTTTGTAATAACTACTACTTCATGAATTATAGAACATCGAAGGTATTATGAACGTTGCCAAAACAGCGTTTCGATGTCATAAGACCTCACAATACTTTTTCTTTTGTCCCGATAATACACAATTTTAGAATTACAGAGTTTCTCTTTTTTAATTAAACAATTTAAAAAATTTACTATGTTGTTAACAATAATAAATCGCATTGTCGCACGTTCCATAAACAACGAACAACGGAAACAATTTCGTATTCTCCACCTTACGATTCGTCAAAAAATATTCGTCAAAATTCAAACGACTCGTTTAATTATTTATCAACCTCACCACAATCCCCGGCCAAAATTTCAAATTGTCAGCAAATATTTATTTAATGATGCACTAAATAAATTAAACACTAATGACATAAATTATAACTTATGCAAAAACCCGCGCTGTCAATTTACAATGAACAAAACAATTTACCTTTGTGTTCCCTCTAATTCAATTAAATTTGAAAACAAAATTTCGATTGAATTTCAAATCAGATAATAAAAACAACTCAACAAAACACAAAACTGTCGAGAATAGAATACTCTATATTTTATGAAGGGTACGAAAACGGGAAACTGTGCAATCTCCGATTGTATTGTGTGAGGGATGGAGCTTGAATGATGTACTCACACTCATAGTTCTTCCATCGATTGTCTTAAAACCATATGACGTCACTGCAATCAATTTCGCCTGCTATTGAATCTGTCAACTCGCAACCGACACTATTGAAGATGTGGTTTTCCCACATGCACTTCCACTAACAATGCCTCATAAACGAGTTACCTTGAACAAAGGAGCAAATGTTTCTACGTTTTAATTGCACGTTCGAGATCAATTTAGTTTTTCATACGGCGGAAGCGATTCGATAATGACATAAAAATTTCTTAATGTCTTACACAACAGAAAACTTCGCAATGTCAAGGTATAGGCAGTAACGCGATTTAGAGATTTGCATTCATAACTTTGGTACTAATTACCAACCAAATTGGAAGAGATATTACCATGGAAATTGTAATGTGTAATAATCACAAATTATGCAAGAGAGATCCGAGATAAGTGTACACTTTACACATAAAAAACCAGATTGTTTCTACTTGTTAAACTTTATAATTCCGCTAGGGCGCAGTCACAGTCAAATGGCTCTTGAAACGAAATCGCTTCTACTATTTCAAAAGAATTAATGAAATGTAATCTAACAAAAAAATCTTATTGCAGTAGCAACACAATGACAATATCCATTTCACTTCCAGTCCCATTTACACGGACACCACTACATACGTAACACCCATTTTTGTGATAAACGATCAGTTCCAACAAAAAAAACTAATCACACTGCAATGCTCTTACAGAACGAAATCCCCTCAAGAATTAATTCCCCAGAGACCCTAGTTCTCAAATTAACCATACAAAAAAAGTGAATAAAAAACTACACTCCTATATCATTCTTCTAGCTACACCATAATCTACAAAGAACTTAAATTTTACTACACGTAAGTTCAGAACGTGCTCCGTCTTCTCCGACTTTAATTAAAACCCTTCTACACTTCAACGGCTGAAAATAAACCAGCCCCCGATATAAATGAGTAGATGACAAATATTTTTCAATGTTTAATTCTATTCTGAGGTTTCGCTTTAATTGCTTCCACGTTCATTCAATCTGCCGAGTCCTTGTTAATCTTTGTTTGTTTGCATCAAAACTTACAAATTAGAGTTTGTGAAGTTTTCGTTCGACAATGAAATCAAAGTACGTCACCGTAGAACGCAAGCAAACCATAATTAATGAGACTAACTTGGCGTTGAAGGAACACGGACTGTTTGAAACTGAAACGACTTGATTTACTCCAAAATGATGAAAACTGGCTCGGCACCGTGGACATGGTAAAAGGGATGAGTAAGAAATATTAACTTTCAGCTGAAGCACTTGAGCACAACTGAGGCTGCGGTTTCCGATTCTATATCCTAGATAGGTCAGTTAAATTTAATTATAACATAAATTATCCTGAGCAACTTGGTAAGTGGAGCTTATTAACCAAAGTCGGTTAAAAATTTGCAAGGCGCTTTAACAAGTTATCAGTTTATCTTGTTTCTTGGGGCAAAAAGTTAATGAAATGAAAGAATCAAATTTAACGTTCCGTTTTTACTACATTATTGAGTTCTAGACATCTTATACAACCTTACTAATCACTCTTACATTTCAGGAATATCTCAACCTTCAAAATGACTCAACCACTCTGACTACAATGAAAAAGAAGCAAAGAGAAGCCAAATCAAAACATTCAAAAAACAAACTGGAACAGAAATCAACCACTGAACCACCAGATTCTGAAGAAGAAGAAAGTTTTTCCAAGTGGTTGCGTTCAAGCGAAGGACTCGAAAATCTTAAGCTTTTTGTCATAGGAAACTCGGTTTTAATTTTTCTGTTAGTTTCGTGGCCTCAAATCAAAGAAACGCTTGAAACGGCTTATTACATGTACATTGAGTATCAAAATAATGTGTCTTTAACCAATCAGTAACATGTTCGGTGCCATATTTAAAGGATTTTTTTTCTTGGCGGTTATGTTCTGGTACACCTTGGGTGTTTGGACTGTGGTTAATAATTATTTCAGGGAAGAAATTCGCAAATACTTGCTTCATGATATCGCGAGAAAATCAAATCCTGTTACACCGACTGTCGGAGACTATAAAATTTCATTTCCTGGGACAGAACAGTCAAGTCGGTATCTATCCGTGCTTGACGAATACGTAATAACTAAAAGTTTACTACATAAACGTAGTTTCTGCTATTCTCCGCATTATAAAGAAAATAACAACAAATGCAGAAAAATAACCTTCACGTAATGTTTATATTTTTTGCTAAAATTAGATATCCGCAACGCAAAAATACTAGTTAAGGTGTAGTACTCACCTGGTTGTTCATTTAGCAGCGTTTAAAGCCCTTTAAACTGTAAAAAAGAAACGAAAGTGAGGTTAGAATCATGTAAATAAACGTCTTCTAGAATTACGAGTTTCAAGTTCATTTCAACATTACCTCCGTTTTAGTTTCTCAAGATCTCTTCATATTCAACGAACAGGAACACAAGTTTTAACTTAAAACACCACTAAACAGTTTAAACTTAAAGTAACAAATTTAAACAAAAACTAAACAATTAAGACACTTGTCATTGGTCGGTGTCTAAAGGGGGAACAGGTGGTATCGTTTAAAATCGCCTTCATGTTTGCAAAAGTGGCGACATCTACTGGAGTTCGAGCTGAATTACAAACATGAAACTGTAAATTATCAAGTTTGTTTCCTAATTGTGTTTATTTTTGACTCAAGATGCAAAAAATACTGTTTATTTATTTATTTCGATTATTTCCAAGATACATAAAAGAGTAAGACACAGTTACGTATGTTTACAGTGTTGAAATTTGGAGATTTTGTTTTAGGAGCTGATCAGAGGAGGGCGCCACTTAAAAAGTTTGTTTTTATTATTTTATTATTTTCATGAGAAAATATTTGATTTATTTAGATAACAAGGCTTTATGAAATTATATAACAGTTTAATTATTTAAAAATAAACCCCATTTCTGTTTCCTGGAATCATGTATACTGAAAAATAAAATTACAATAAAACGTCTTTCTCGTATACAGTTTAATTTAATAAAGCTTGATACACAAGATAGAAACTCTGGAAGATTACGATGTTTGCTTAACATAAACTTCTTCATGTAAGAATAATAATGGTATTACAGATTTTGAAATTTGACTAATAGGACATACATAACAAAAAACTTGCGGAAATTACCTAGTTCCTTAAAAATGTATGTACACGATAGAAACAAACTCTGGAACTTAATTAAATTAATGAATGTAGAACCTAAAAAAAATGAAGTTATTCGATAATAATTAGTCAAGTTGTAGTGTTAGCAACATTTTCCAAAAAGTTCAAAATCGTTGGTATAAATCTCTCTGATACCTCCATTAAATGACGTAGAAGCACGCTCAACACTCAGTAACATGATGTAGGCCGTTAAAGGAAGCTTAATTTATAAGAGCACCAATTATTTTATCAAGAAGATCTAAAATTGTCGTTACCCTCGTTCTAGACGGACGCTTAGATCTCTGTTAAACAAACAAAATGTGTTTCAAAAGAGTGTAAAAGTTATTTTGTTCTTAATTAAAGCCACGATGGCGTCAGGATTTGCTACCTTGAAAAGAGGCAGCATCCAAATTCACAGAGCTGCCAAAGTTGTCAACGGTAAGTAACTTACTACTAATGTACTAACGCTTCCACAACGAATTCGAGTCTAAAAACACTTTATAACATTTGAATTTAGATCAAATAGGCTCCCGACAAATGCTAGCCGTATTTGTGATAACTGGGTACGTTCTGTGCGGAGTCGTTGAACAAAGTGCTTCTGTAGCTCTAAGGGCAAACAGTACTTCCACTTATTCAGAGGCCGAATTTGCGGAATATGTGGAAAACACTAGTTACATCACAAGGTACTGCCAACCTCCGTCTAACAAGTCGACGGTGCATGTCGTCAGGTCCATTCCACATATAGAGGTATAGGTACCACCACATTCTGCAAACAAAATTAGACACTAGAGTTTAAGATTCCAATGACCCGAACGGACGAGACCGAGGCCGTTCTTCGCCAAGCTTTCATGTGGGGTAGTTTAGTTTCCCCTTTAGCGGCTAGCAGGGTAGCAGCACGGGTAGGAGCCGAGCGTCTTTTTGGAGCCGGAGTTCTTGGGACTGGAGTAGTCGCGATTATGGTTCCTGCAGCTTGGCTCACACCAGGCCATGTCGCTATTAGAATAATCCAAGGGATTTTTGTGGTAATAAGTTACAACAAAGTTGTAAGTATGCAGACATAAGGTGGTACTTCCAGGGGGCTACTTTTCCCGCCGCTCACATGCTAGCAGTAACTTGGATTAAGACAAAACACGTTAGTGCTTTCATTTCATTGTATACAGCTGTAAATTTAGGGTACGCTGTTGTTGGAATTTTGGGAACGTTATTAGTTAGAAGTCTTGGCAGAGACTGGCTCAGTTATGTTATTGCTTTGTCGTCTTTTCTTTGGTACTTTTTGTGGTGGAGGTTTGTCGAAGAGTCGCTACATCCAAATCGACCAAAGCGTGATGTAAGTACTCAGTCATTTGTATTGTTTTGCTCATTCTCGTTAAAGGAACATAGAAATTTACCTTGGAGAAGATTACTAACCTCTAAACCTGCATGGGCTTGCGGAATTGCGGTAGTTGGAAGCCAATGGGCAGACGCCACTCTCATGCTAGGGGTCACCAAGTACCTTAAGTTAGTGTACGGGTTCTCCATAGAATACGTAGGTAACGAGAAAACTACGTTCCAAAACAACTACTTTAGTGCAAAAAATTGTAGCAAGACATTCTCCAGTCGTTACCACACATTGGGCACTTTCTTGCAGCCATTGCTTTTGGTATAATAGTGGACCACGTGAGAGAATCGGGTGTGGTTTCCACAACAACAGCAAGAAAACTATTTGTGTACATTTGTTAGTAACTCATGAGTTTTTTTCTTTAAATTGATACCCAAATTGTAGCTCACTTTCCTCCTGCGGCTTTAATGTTCGTGTTAGGGTACACAGGGTGCGATCCTGCTGCTCCTGCAGCTTTATATACCGCCGCGTTAGCACTAACAGCAGCAACACCAGCAGGAGTGTTTGCTAGTGCTGCAGACATAGCACCGAATTTTGCAGGTACTCTTTTTTTTGTTGTTGTTCTATGAAAACTAAGACATAATTCTTTTAGGGACTGTTTTCGGGCTTTGTCAGACGGTTGGTGCAGCTGGACTTCTCGCAGCCAATTACGTCGTGTCAGAAGGTCTACACGGCTCAGTAGGTTAGACTTTTAAATCAACAATCGACTGTTTTTGAAGTTTGCAGGTTGGTGGAGACTAGTGTTTGGCGTTTCGTCTGCGGTACTTTTAACAACGGCGGCCTTTTTTATGGCGATGGGAAGTGGGTCAGTTCAAGACTGGAACTTGCCCGGTGATATTGAACCAGAGTTGGAACCTATCGAGGAACCATCTAGACTAGACTCTGTTCTTGAGTAAGACACAAGAAAAATGAGATCGTGCGACAAGTGCTTTTTACATCATTATCATATTACGACATGTAAATTAGAAAATGAAACTCTTTGAATATTCATTAATTGTTTTATTGTAATAATGGAACAGTTGTTTAAATGAAAACGACAAGTATGTAAGTTCCCACGTACGGTATTCACATCTTTGGCATTGTTGCGCAATATTTACATAATTGTAGCATGCAACTTATATTAATTATACACAAGGGTCCAACTCTAAATAAAAAATGCGTAAAAAAATATTGGAATAAGTTATGTACAAAATATCACCAAATAGTGTAAGGATAGATACGAAAGTCAGAAGTGGTGTGTAGATGATTGTACACCTGATGTATCAATAAATACTTTAAAGATTTTTTTGGAAATTTTCAAACTTAAGTAGGTAGTGATATCGTATGATTAATAAATAGCAATGTCATATACAAGAACCATGATGGTGAAATTGAAATTTAATACCTACTTTTGAAATTTTTAAAATCCAGAGAAAGCATCTTTTGTTCTCTAAACTAGCACATTGTATGTATATACAAAATTTTGCTTTCGACTCAAAACACGCAAGAATCTACTATTGTTCGTAATAACCCATATGTGGTTCTCTGTATCTCTTGTTTCTCACAGACCTTTTCTCTTCTTCCGTTTCCTCGCCCAGTATTTCGACATTCCTTACAGGAACTTTCTTGTATTGTGGCACAGGAGTTGTCTCTTGAACCATTTCCTCTTCGTTTAACGGAAGCGCAGGGTTAATAGCAAGTTGAAGCATTCTCAACAGCAACATTTCTCGCACATCTGCTGGAAGATACTCTTCCCTAACTTCCTGTCGTTGATTTTGTCCCGGCTGCAACAATCGTGCAACTCTTCTAGTGGGCACGAAAGACTGACCATTGTGGTTGTACAATTCCTGCTCTTGTCGTTGTTGTTGTCGAAGTGCAGCCTGCTGCTGAGGCGAAATGTGGACAAATTGTCGTTGTTTTGACTGCGCGTTGTCGTCGGGTATAAACTGAACAGGACCCGTTTGTTGGTTCTCGGGTAGTCTTGGTACGTAGTACGGTACAGGCGATGGGCGATATACGGGTCTGTACCTTGGTTGGTAGTATTCTGGTTGGCGACGAGGATCTGATAGAGCACTGATGCGTTCTAGTCGAGTTTGCCGGATTATCAATTGTTGTAAAAGTTTTTGAAAATCTCTGGTACTGACAGGGGGGCTGATATCATCGACGTCGTTCTCCACGTCGTTACTAATGTATCTAGGACCTGCAGGGACAGGAATTGGGACAGGATACGGAGTTGGTGGTACATTCTGTGGCCTTTGGAATTCCCTAATAAACCCATTTTCGTCCACCTGTACTGGAATAGGTCTAAAATGAGGAGGTGGCAATCGTCTAACATAAACAGGCTGTGGTTCCACTTCAGGAGTCGGTTTCGGAGTAGTTTCCTTAACATACTGGTCACTTTGTGGCACATATTGCCCTTGATTTTCATTTACATCCAAAGGAACAACCCTTCCTTGCAACTGACTTAAAGGTACCAAAATAGTACCCGGTTGAAAAGGGTGTTTTATGGCAACCAAAGGTTCTTGAGTGGCTCGATTTGCCGGAATTTGTACCACCGGAACAGAAGTGGGCGTCACTCCATTGACACTCGTCTCAGTAGTAGTTGTCTCTTGAACATACTCCGGAGTGTTGGCTTCCAAATTTTGAAGATCATTCCGGTGATAGTTCACCGGATATCTAACCGTAGGCCTCGACACCACCGTCGGAGTCGTCGTAGTGCTCAGGAGAGCTCTTGGTCTCGACGTCGTCGTAAACAAAGGTCTGGGAGTACCGGTGGTCACCGAAGCACTATAAACATCCGTAACGTCGTTCCCTAGTGCTTGCTGTAACGTAAAAACGTGCTGTTGTGGATCAAAACTAGCTTTTTCTTGGGATAGTTGTCTCCGTAAAATGTTGCTTCTGACTTCTGGTTCGTCAACCACTGGTTTATCTTCGTTCAAAATTTGGTGCTTCAGAGCGAGTCTTCGGAATAGGGGTAGTTCTGTAGGTCTCACGGTCACAATTTCCGGTCGAATAATTTGTCCTTCTGATTTTTGGGTGTGTGTTGCTGGAGTGGACCGAATGATGGGTCTTCCTTGCAGTAAAATTCTAGGAGTGGGACTTGGGTATACGATATGGGGAGATTTGCTAGTGGCTTTGGAAATTTCGCTCTCCACGTTGACCACTTCGCTGTAATTAGGTCTATCCGTGGTGGTCGTCGTCGATAGGTTTTTTCTCAATTTGGCGATTCGTTCGAGCGCTGTAGTACTCGTAGGGGTCGACAATGTTGTAGAATAGACATGTCCAGGTCTTCTCGTTGTGTGTTGTTGGGTCCGATTGGATTTGGGGATTCTTTGGACGACGGAAGAAGGTTCCGGTTTTGCCAAAACCTCGCTAGAATTACTGGTGCTGTAAGAAACCCTTTTGATTTGACCTGCTTCGTCTATGTACCCGTATGTTCCTTTGACGTTCCCTAGCACGTCCCTACTTTCTATTTTAAACGACCCATCGTCTGCTTCGTACCCGATGGTATACGACCCATCGTCGTTCACTTTCTTAATTTGCTTGATTATTTCAAGCTTGCCGTCTTTGGACTCGGATTCGACTAGCTCTTCTTTCGACTCGTTTTCTGCACTGATTGTCTTCTTGCAAAGTAGCAGCAACAAAAACAGCGTGGAGATCTAAAAATAATAAACAAGCTGAAGATTGGAGTTAACTCGCGTAAAATTACGGGGAACGTCTGTCCTTAATCGTCAAGTATCTCTAATTACCACAAAATAAGATCTACGGCGGTTTTGTCCGAAACGAAGAAAGCAGAAAATTTACTTTTGATAAAGGAATTAGGTAATTAACCTTGTCATATGCAAATTGCGTCACAATTCGGTGAGACAAATGTGCAATCGATCATCCGATAACGAGCTTGGGAACACTGTTTGGAACAAAAGGATAAAGACATCAAAATATCGTTTATGCTTGTTATTTGGGAAAGAACTTTGCTAAGAATTTTAACAATCTTCTTAAAGCTAGTTCCCAGGCACGTTTCATAATTAGTTGCCCATTATGTATCATGTGACTGTCACACTGTTGCACAATGTAAGAGCTCATTCAAGTAAATTATAACCAGTTAGTAAATTGTCTATCAATTTGACAATTGTTTTTTTTTAACCAAAATACTGTCGAATCTTTTAATTAAAAATTGGTGTTTTCTTTATTGTTTTTGAAAGTAGCTGTACATGAAAAGTGGTAACTGTGAAAAAAAAAGTGTAGCACTTCCTGGCTGAGGCGAATCGTGTTTCAAACTAACCAATTACATTAAATCGCAGGAAGTATGTTCATTTAGAAAGATTAATCATCAGTTTGCTCAATTAACACCAAATGAATCAATAACACTCACAATCAGACCAAATTCGCATATTCAAATTAGCCACTATCTTCCAGAGAAAGTACTCTTGATGGAATAATGAGCAACGTCGTCGCTCAATTTTCCACATATGTCGGCTCACTAACGCAAAGAACACGGCAGTGTCGTACATATCCTTGATTTAAAAACAATGCAAATTGATTAGATTCCGCGCTCTTTTACACATTTACGTTTAGTTTAGTCCTATTATTACATAAATTAATGCAAATATTTCCCGCGCAACTGCCGGTATTTTGAAACCGGAAAATTCGCATTACTCTTTAAACGAATTTTGAAAAACGCGATTAAACAACAATAGTCTAAATTACCGAAATTGACCAACACCAAGCCGCGCGTTAACCACACGGGACCTTATAACGACATCCTCGTAGTGAGTGAAATCCGCGTTGTCGTCGTTCTTCTCGCCGGATAATCGCATTAAAAGACACGCTTTCTTTACTCACAACAAACCATTTCTTTTGTTTTCAGCAAATAGATTATTGTTATTAAAATGATGACACATACCTTGGAAAAATCTGCCATTGCGGCAGTGGCTTGATACAGAACACGTGCTTGCACCAACTGATTCACTTCGCGGCGCAACTTCCCTATATAACTTAAGTCTATTCTTAAGTCTTCGGAGCTGGAAGGAGTGACCTTGACGTGCACCCACCACGAGGACGTGCCGGAGCTTTGGACGTGCTGTATTCAGTGAAAGTGATTAATTTATTACGATCGATGTACCTGCTGCATCAATGATGGGTGAAATTGGTCAAAATTAGACTAAAGTTCCACTAAAATTTATTGATCTTGAATTTCATTTTTTTTTCAATCCTAATTCTAATTTAAAAAATATGTCAGGTGTTTTACAGACAATATAATGCTTACTAATCAAGATATTGATGTGTGTTAAGGGATAAGTTTAATTAGGGTTACTATAATTATAGAGATTCACTAATTAAAACAAATATAGGTACTAACCCTATAGGTACTAAGTTCAAAATAATTTTTTTCAAAAGTAATAATTTATTTTGGAGCAATATTACATACATCCCTAAACCACCTAAACTTTTTGAAATGGCTAAAATTCTAAAAATTACAGGTGGAATGAAATAGATGTGTAGAATAATTAAATTTTTATTAGTACCAATTCAATTATTTTTTATTTTGCTGCAGTAATTGTTATCAATTTTGTGTGAGAAATTCCAAAGATCATGATCATTTTAATGAAATCATTGGTTTGGAAAGAATGGTAGCCTTCTATGCTTTACGACCCTCGCTGTGAACGCACTGTTGGGTAAAACACTAAAAATCCACATGGTCGTTTTAATGGAACCCTGTTTATTTACGAAATATTAATTCATTCAAAACACAATCAGCTGGCCTATTTCTCACGGTTGGGTACAACTTTGGTAGCAGCAGTACTAATGGTACTGTTATAAGTGATAGTTATCGCATAAGGCTGAAAACGAATGTTCCGGTGCATGGCACCAAATGTCGTACTATACTTGCATTAAAAAAAACATTAAAACATGACATCACCAAGTTAGTCAATCTGCCAAAATTAACTGTACAGTTTTCCGTGGAAAAATTTTCATATTTAGCACCATCACTTTCAGAGTACTTAATTGTATATTTTTTTGAACACACAACAGAATAAAAATTAACAATAGGAACATTTTTTTTTGTGTTATATAATTATATCCCAGTTTTCATTATGCTTTACTTTCTAATTAAATAAACAAAAGAAACAAATTGTAGTGTAGGACAGGACATTACATTCCTTAAATGAAATTCTGTTCAATTTCCGCATGAAAACGTGTGAATCTGGATATAGACATGTTCGTTTTGAAAACAATAAAGACATATCAAGCAGTCCTCCCGTTTATCTGATGTCTATGATTGTGTAATGAAATGAAAATTTTCACATGTGATACGGAAATGCTGTATGCATTTTGAATTGTATTAAACATGCAACATTACTGCGCCGAAAAAGTGTTATAAGGTTGAATTGGAATATTTCTTTATTGACTACTACTACTATTGACAAATTTGATGACGTCATCAAAAAATATTCTTTTGTTTTGGAACAAATCCATTAACAATTTAACATGAAAAACAACCGCATGTAATTTACACATTAATATTACTTTTTGTCGTGGACTTTAAAACGCGCACATCTGCATTAGAGCTTACGATCAAAATGATATAAACGAACAATTTACTTTACGTAACAGGGCGGGAAAGGTTAAAATTGCAGAACATTGTTCATTGTCTCAAAACTACAGAAGAATAACGACCGCTTGAGAAGGTCCCAGAACAAGAATATGCCACTTGTTTATTTAGATTTACGAAATTAATTATTCTAAGTACATAATACACATGAATACGTCTTGTCATTACAAGAAAACACGACAAGTTTAAATGTATCCAGCACTAAGGGGAATAGGTTAGTAAAAAATTAAAAAAAAAACAAATATAGTTCAAATTTTGACTAAATTTCGTTAGTATCACTGTTTTGCGTCACAGTTTTGAATGACTTTTTTTGACTTGTTGAATGAAAACTGTTTACATAACCTGGTCTAAAATTTCACTTTATAAGGAAAAACTGTTCTTGATCAGTACAATTTTTGTTAAATCTTGAATTTCAAAAATACTGTTGGAAAAAATGTTTCCACTATATAACTTAAATTCGTTATTCCTCCTAAAGCCTAAAATTAATATTTATAAGTTTTCTTATATAATCCCCTGGTTGGCTGTTACATCAATATATCTTATACTATTAAACGAGCAAAGTTTGTATATATATATTTATATATATATGTAATGGGTTTCTCGAAAACGGCTCTAACGATTTCGATGAAATTTACAGGTTAGGGGTTTTTTGGGTCAAAAAATCGATTGATCATAGTGTTAACTTCTGAAAATTACAGCTTCATACATTTTCAGTAATTTTCAGGCGGTGAATTATATTCGTTGCTAGGTAACATCGGATGACACTAAACGAACACGAGATTGTTTTATAAGAGAAGTTTGGGTGACAATCTGACAGTACGTTTGACGTACCTTTTTATCTTCAATGGTACGTACCGAAACATACTCCACTGTATAGAGGACGTTGAAATTCACCTCCTGAGGTGAGAAAATTTACCAACAACTAAACAGTGAGCGGATAAAAGGCACACGAAAGTGTGTTGAATTGAGATTATTTTGTCAAGCATTCATTTCAGAGGTTCCACGGTCAGTGTCAAAATGTGATCGTTTTCGGGGATGGGACCGTGTTATTTGAGTTTTTGGGCTCAACGTTTCGCACACTTTCGTAAATGGCATCTTCGGGAGCAGGGTTGAGATTGAGAAATTAGGAATAACACAAAAGAGCACGGTAACTCAGTATGTTAACCACACCAGAGGCGAAACTCTTCTGGCAGTAAGAATGTGGTTGTGACCTTTTTCTAGAGTCGAGAGAGAGAACTAGGAAAAAAAAAAGAACGACAGGGAGAAAACTTGGGTAACAAATGAGATGTCAAACAATAATTCCAGTTTTCTGTTCTTTAATCTCTACATGTCACTTACCAGTGTTTAAAACAAAGACTGCTTATGGAATTTCTTTTTTAATGTGTATTTTTAAGTAGCGCGTGTACTTCAAAATGCATACTATACGCATATTTATCTGTCCTAATCTGATCTAATACTACCAAACGAGCCGAGTGAAACTCGGTCAACCAGATATTATTTTTTATTACACTCCGATTCCGGATTGAAATCCACATTTGTCTCATCTCAGCTTTAAGCACAATTTTTCCACTATAACTTGGCAAGTTTTAAAGAACAGTCCTCGAAATTCTTTGTCTTCGATACTTTCTTGACAAAGAACAAGTTCTGAGCTAATAATGTCTTAATATCATACAATCGAAAATAAAATGTATTAGAGTTAGCTGTGATTTACGTCAAATCGACAAACAACACCTAATTAATTTATTTTCAGTCACACCGTATATGTAAGATGTTCTACCTCGACACTACTTAACAAATCGATTTTCTTTTTCATTTTCCACTTCACTTTGATACGGAATTCCAAAGTCCAAGTAATTTGTAATCTGTGTATTGCTATAAATTCCAAGAACCTTAGTTTCTACTGAAAGTAGAAGAGTAAAATGTGTAGTTTGAGTTTAACTACTTCCGTTGAGATTATTAACAAGTAAACACAGCCAGTGTTACAACAGAGCACTTGCCATTGTATAGAAGATGACACTAACGGTAAAATTTATTACTTCCAAAATTACTTACTACCTTGACTCAGAATAACAAACTATCCATAGAATACTTCTGTAATACATGTATATAATAATTGTCTAATTAGGTAGAGGAAAAATTATATAAGAAAACCTGGAATATCAAAAAACTAACTCCTGTGGTTATCTAAAATTAGTTTACTGTGACTCTGAATCGGTACCAAATTAACAAAGAAAATAAATGAAATTGTAATTGCAGTAGACCCAGACAGTCAAAACCCAGTTCAATCTTCAATCGCCGTCCCTCGTCCGAACTAAACCTCACCTTTGCGGGTGACACATTCGCAGTGGATCCGAATGGTAACAGGCAAACATGAAATACAAAAAGTTTAGTAGAGCTTTCCGTGTGTAATATTTCTTCACACCACTGATTGGTGAGGAAAAGTGGCCCCTCTCTGACCAGGGAGACAGCATTTGCAGATGATTTACTGAAAAATTAGGGCGGACAATCTGTCTTTTAAAAATATAAATCAGAAAATAAGGGTTAGATTAATGCAGTGGCGGCGTAGCGTGGTTTGGCACCCGGGGCGGTTTTCTATTCAGCATAATATTATAATAAAACAACAAATACTAAACGTGCTTACGGGTCTTTAAGTTAGATTAGTACATTTTAAGAATAAGGTTCTGTCTAAATAGCTTTCAACCTTCTTTTATTGGATGTACTTGACAAATCCATAATATTTTGCATTAAATAGAGTTTACGGTATGATAACCTAAACATCCCGCCAAAATTTGAAGTGAACAAAATTTCAACATCCGCGAAAATTCAATATTTGTCCTTGAACTGTGGTCGTCAACAAAAATTTACTACCAACTCAAAGAGTGCCATTCCCTAATTCTCTAGACGAAAAAAATATATGTTTTTAATGTCTTGTAAAGAAATGAGAATTTTGCGGTTAAGCTCCGCCCGTTTGGTTCACGGCGAATGAGAAAAAATCATCACAATTGAGATAGGGAGGGTGGGCGGGCTTACATTTTGCCTTTCTTTTAATATATGCAGATTTCTTTTCACCGCATGAAAGCATGTTTAAAATGGAAAATTTGTATAAGGAAATTTCAATTTTGCAATTAGGCTCCGCCCCATAATTGCAAAATCCATATTTCCTTGCAAAAATGTACCATTTTAACCATGTTCTAAGTTTCTTGTTGTGAAAAGATGGCTTATGTATATTAAGAAAAAAAAGACAAAATATAAGCCCCGCCCACCCTCCCTGCCTCAATTATGATGATTTTTTTTATTCGTCGTAAGCCGAGGGAGGAAGCTTAATTGTAAAATCTTCATTTTTCTACAAGAATGATTTTGTAAAGTGCAAAATTCTGTTAATTCAAAAATAAAACTAAGAGAGAAGCCCCACCCATCCGCCTCGATCTCAATCATGATGAATTTTTCATTCGTTGTCAGACCGCGCGCGGAGCGTAATTGCAAAATCAATATTTCCCTATACAAATTTACCGTTTTAAACATGTTTTAAGTTTCTTGTTGTGAAAAGATGACTACATATATTGACAAAAAAGGCAAAAATGTAAGCCCCACCCACCCGCCCTATCGCAATTGTAATGATTTTTGTATTCGTCGTGAGCCGAGGGGGCGGAGCAAAATCCTTATTTCACTACAAGAAATAAAAAACATATTTTTGAGTATCGCGTTGTTCAAAGAATACTACCAAAAATTAAGCCTCACCTATATCCATCCCAAGCTCAAAGAAATAGGTCCCCCGTTTCGGTCTGTCTGTCTGTCTGTCCGTCTGTCTATCGTCCTGATTTTTTTTTGTATGTTTTTGCAGAGTGATTCATCTGTAAATATTCTCTAACTGTGCCAGTGAGTTGTCGTTGTCATCCCTTTGTGCTTGGTACTCGGGGCGGACCGCCCCCCATTTACGCCGCCACAGGACCTGGATTAATGGACCCTGTAAAATGCTGTATTTAATTTTTTTAATATGACTAGAAAAGATTGTTTTAACGATTTTCACTTCTCGAGCGTAAGCTCAAGAAGTATGTATAGTAATCCAGTCTATTGGCGAAATTGCCACTTTCATGTTTTCTGGACGTGTCATAACCTCTAGAGTACGAAAAATGTGGTCTCCCGTTTCCGTCTATCTGTCTGTCTGTCTGTATATATCCATTTTTATTAGACAAGTAATCTCCAAAAGTACTGGACTGATTGTTGTCATATTTTGTATGTACATTAGGAATATCATGTAGATGGTTAAATACTAACAAAAATCTAGATAATCATCCGCACCACCAATGGAATGACGTCATCTCCAAAATTTATAATAAAAAGTTTTTTTTAATTTCATAGAATAAGATATTCCTGCACTTGTGGTGTATCAATCCGTGTCGAATTTTCACCCTAGACATCCAAAATTTTTGGAAAAATTCAAAACCAACAACAATATTTTGCATTATAACTTGGAAACTGCAAAAATCTTGTAAATATTTTAAGGTTTTCGTAATCATGGTAAATCGTTGAGTAAAATTTATTATATGATGAATCTATACTTGTGATTTATCATCGCATTAAAGTTTTTAAATTTCTTATACAGGTCACTCATAAAAATTAATGAATGAATCAATTTATTTTATTGATTAAATCGAAACGGCTCACTCCGTTTTCCCGAAAATTTGGGAATACAATACTATCATCATTAGTATTACACTGCATCTATCGAAAGTGATATACGTGTCTTTGCAAAAATATTGATCACGTCATCACAAAATTTTGTTAGGGAAAACTCATTTGGAACGTACCCCCAGCACGCTTCTTTACATTTACTTTAACGTTACATACATATCTTTATTTTAACTTATAAAGGTTCTCATAAAAAAAATGCGCCCAATCAAATTTTATAATTTTTCGAAAAAGCTGGATTTGTAGTATTATATTTCAGAGGTGAGGGAACTCCTATCGAAATACCCTTCGACCAATTTTTTAACACAGCAAAGTAATGGAACAAACAAGAAATATGTAGTTGGTTGCATATACATTAGAGATTATCAAAGAAGTTGGTATGTAAATTCACAGGTAAATTGTGCAAACGATTGGCGGCACTGAGAAGTTTGATATTTGACAGTGAATTGTCAAACTATTGCCACTATTGCCCATTGTTATTGCTGTCATTCAATCCAAAAAAAGTCCTAATTTTATTAATAGAACCTTTAATATAACAGAATACGCTGAACAGAAATTAAGCGAATAAATAAGTGAAGGTCCTACATTTTGTAAACAGAATTTTTCGACTGGGCGAATTCGAAAGGATGTAGAAAATGAATCAATAAAATCATATTTTAGTACTGTTGGTTGCCTACACAAAAATATTACAGGTAAGATTGACCAGTATTTTGCACACGCTGTCTCTATAAATGTTGAAGTGCATATTTACCGATAGGAATTAACAACTTAACAAATTTTGAAAATAAACTACAGTTTACCAACCCTCCACAATAAAATGACAAAATGCACTGCAAAAGTAAGTGTTATCACTATAGAAAATTAAAATTCCCTATACACTGCGACTAAAATGTGTTGTGCATGCAACCAGTAATACTGCACAGTAAATTATTATTATTCGTAACGTAACAAACCATCAAATTCAAATAATAAATTAAACCCTATTTCAGCCGTCTAATTTTTATTTTTAAAATTACAGATAAAAAAATATTTATAAACTGTGACATAATTTTGAGCAAATAAGTAACTCATCATTTAACAACAAGAGCATGCAACTGATCGGCCAATTCTATTATTTCTTTATAACTTTCACACTGTTTGGCCATATTAACATTAATAGCTTCCTCGCCCAGGTATGCTCCAGCAATAGCCCCTGCCATACAAGCAATGGTATCAGTATCACCTCCTAATGTGATTGCATATTGAATAGTTCTTCTAAAAATGTTGTCAGTCTAAAAACACACTAAAGCAATGAGAGTAACACAATCTTGACATTGAATCTTACCTTCACCGTTTCAATATCATTCTTAAGCGCCCTCAAAAAACAATAAATTGCAGTTGGAACTGAATCATAAGCAAGAATGGAAGTCCCCAAATTTTGACAAACCTCTTCATCCAACTCTTCATGATAATTAGTTTGAAGAAAATGTTGCACAAATTTAACCTTGTCTTCATATGGATGGTCATCATCTAATTCTAAACTATACGTCCTCTTGGTTGTTTCAATTGTCAACAATAAACAAAACTCACCCATCATCATCTTCTTGTTCCACTAGTTTGATTTTCTTAGTAATGTCAGGACAGAACTGGTCAAATTTAATTTCTTCTTTTGGATCAGTGAGCAAAGCCTGGTGAACCGCTATACATTGCAAAACAGCCCCATGCACACCCAAAGAGTTCGTGTGTGTGATTTCAGTGGACTTTTTAGCCGCTTCCACCATTAAATTATAATCATTGTAAAAATAAAGCGCGATTGGTGCAATCCTCATGGCACCGCCATTACCAAAAGACCCCTTTCCATTAAACTGTTCTCTTGCAGGCCTATAAATATCATCAAACTTACTTTTCCGCAACTTACTGAACACCTCTACAACGTTAGGGCCGTAACCGCGGTGCGGTTCAAGAAAGTAGTCTTTGACGAATAATTTCGCCATGTGTTTGTAGTCGATTTCTGGTTTAGCAATGAGACTTTGGGCGATTGACTTCATCATGGCGGTGTCATCTGTGTAACTCCTTACGGGCCCTAAAAGTTTGATCAGTTCTTGTCGACTTGGCGAGTCGTCTACCTTTGAGGTCTGGGGACTCCAATTTATCAAAGTATCTCTGAATGACGATTTTCTCGCCTGCGGTTATGGGTTCTCCTTCAAAGGGAGAACCCAGGCAGTCCCCTAATAATGATCCTAATAAAGAGCCTCGAAATTTACTTTTCAGTACATTAGTGTCCATTTTGATGTGTTTTAATACGTTAGACATCGGAAAAAATTGTTAAGCTAACCTAAAAATGATAATGTAAAAATAAATCTGCTGCGACACAAGACAGAGGCAAGAACAAGTGTTGGACAATAAATAGGTACGTGCTTACATGTTTATTTTGGTATCAAACCGAACTTGCATGTGACAACGAATTTATGCCAAAATATTATGCGACTATACAAAAAAGTGTGATAAGATGGATGATTTGTTACAATGAATTTCCCTCCATTTTTAAGAAGAAAACTACCCTTTGTTGTACGTACCTAAGAAAAGAACAACGAAAACATTAAAGATCAAGAAAACTAATAAGAATCATATTACGTAAAACAGTAAACATTTATATTTTTAAATATTGACAATTACAACTAGTATAGTTGGTTGCATAATTGTTCCTATGAATCGTATATAGAATGTCTCAAAAATAAATATAAAGTCGCGATCTTTTCTATAGAACCACTCCCTAGTGTAAATTTTCAAAGTTTGTTTGGTGTAAGTGACCTTGACGGGTTTCTGGGGGAAAACATATGTGTCAAAAATTTGACAGGTTGAATGGTCCCATTGTCAATGTAGATATTTTATATTAATAAATAGATGAACAGAACATACAGCCTGCACGGGATACAGTGCGGCATAGCTGAGGGCAACCGAAACATTCGTGTTGTGCTAGTTTCGATTGTCATATCAACTACCGCTACCAACCGCGTTCGACCTAAAGTACTAGATGACAGGGCTACCAACTTGACTTTTTATCGAGTGGTTCCGTAGAAATGACCGCTACTGTACACTGATTATTTGCTACAGATTCTTAAACTTTTGTGCGACTGCAAATTAAGATTAAAATAACATTATTCATCCCATTTAAAATCGATCGCATTTTTTAAATGCGTAGTATAAAAATATACGCTGCACCTCAGTGGAAGATACTAAAGAATTGCATAAGTTAGCATAATAAGACTCGTTATCATCATGCTCTGAACTAATGAAAGGTCATCTTTTTATAGCAAGACTGCAATAACGTTAAATTTTTGAAATTTAACTGTTTTCAATTTATAAATTTAAAAAAATGGTCCTCGTTACGTAACAATTAACATTTTTATTATCATCAGTTCATTTTCAATATGTGTAATATTTAACAAACTAATGAAACATAATGCTTTGCAGATGAAATATTTTAATCAGTTCTGTTGACTAATCAGCGCGTGACTTTATCAACGAGCACTTCCTAGAAAACATTTACCGAACAGTTGGAAACGGGGAGTCACAGTGGTCATACATGCAGACCAGAATGTAGAGTAATTCTAAACGAACTACGTGTCAAAAGATTTCTAGTTACTTCTTTGTATTTATCATGAAAATGATGTTTTGTAACAATGGGGAATGTATTTGCTTTAAATTCCTATGTTATCATATGTTAATTATTGTGATTTCTAAATATAAATACATGCAAAACATATGTGTGTCGTGCATTCCTTTTGTTGATAGCACTTTATTTAATTAATTTATTCGAAAAGGCGTGAAATTGCGTCTTTTTAATTTATTGATAAAAACATTATTTTACAAATGTATGACCCTACATTTTTTCAAACGTTTCCTCATATGAACAAATTAGACACCTGCGGGTGTAATTATCCTCCTCTTCATTGTATTCTTCTGAACCAAATTCGTGAATATGTGCAGACGAACTTCCATCACACAAACTACTTCTTGTATTCATTCGTAGCCCCTTAACTTGCCTGTAAAACTGTTTTGTTCGCCTTAACATTTTTTTGTTTGTACGTTGCTGACGTTCTTTTTCCATGTTTTCAAAACTACCCCACACTTCTAAAGCTCGCTTTACCACTTGCAGCTCCATATACAGTTTCACATTTCCCCAGTGACTGTTATGGAGATTTTTACGTTTAATATATTTCAAAGGCGGTTCTCGCTTGTCCAGATCGTGTCTTTTCAATATGTATTTATTTAGTGCCTCAGTTTTAGTAATTAGTTTGTTTTCTTCTGCATGTTTGCATGAGTCACAACAGGGATAATCGAAATTATCGAACAACCACGACGAGGCAATGGGTTTGGCACATTTGGTACAGTTTGGTCGGTCTTCTTTTAAAATGGGTGCTTTTGGAGTGGATGCAGCAGTGGAGGATTGTGTTTGTGTGTTAACTTTTAGGAGATACCAACCACCCGAGTCTTTATAGTGCTGACTCATAGCTTTTGCCATGGTCCAGGACTGTGGTCCAGGATATGAAATCTTTTTTCTTTTCTAGTCTGGATTTTAACAAATTTTAAAAACCAAGTTGTCATACTGACATTTACCTACTGTGTAACGGCTGACTACATCTTCATGTAAATATCGTTGTCAAATTTCGAGTGACGTCATAGCGGCGTTACACCGACTCGGGATGTCCGCGTTTTTACCCTTTTAATTGCTTGACTATCAATCATACAAAAAAAAACGCAATTGATCACTTTTTTTACGATTGACAAACGTAAAACGTGACCAGATAACGTTTAAATATTGAAAGTTATAAATTAGCGGAAAATCTTAGTCCAGCGAAATTGGGTGTAAAGTGTAAACCTGTCTCCTAATTCTTTATCATAAGTCGCACCAACACGTAGACAAATACTTGAAAACATCAACTCAGTCAGTCACCTTAGAAATCAAACTATAATTGTTCCCACCAGTATCTCTATTTTGAATCGGTCACGTATTCTGATTAACAAAAATCATAAAGTAAACTTATTTTTTGTCTGCGGAGTAGCTATCTCGCGAAAGTTATTTACAATTCTCGTGGAAGTTCCTAGTTAGCCGAGTTTATTTCAACAGCGGTATTTTCCGCGACTTTTTTTAAGAAACGACATCATCTTTCGTCGATCGGAGGAAACAGTTTGAATGTAAATGTCAATTCAATATTCCTAGCCTTGACAAAACGTAAATACAGCACTGACTTACTTAAATTTTGTTTAACACGTGGTGTATTTACATACAATATTTATAATTGGCTTACTTATTTATAACTGTTATTGTGCAACTTCAAGCAACTGTAAACAAGGCGACGATGATCAAAATGAATTGCACTTTGACGCGGATTTTATTTTGATAAACAGGTTTCTTGTAAATCATGATCGTGAATAACACTATGCAACAAATTAAAAAAAAATAAAATTCACAGAATATACAGTATGTAATTAAAATTTCTTACCTCAAACTCAATTGAGGATTATGCTTGAAAGAATCGTATCACATCAGGTTTCAAAATGAAAAGTGTTTATTGAATTTTTTGAAATCATACAAAATTAATAAAACAAAACTTCATTTCTCATTGAAAAAGGTATTTTTTTTCGAACGATTGCCATTCCCTTTGTAGCCAGATCTCGCAGTATCCCTCTGAAGACACCAACAGAAGTCTGCAAGCATGGGTGGATACATAAAAGCGATATTTTTACGATTAACTGCAATCAAATGTCCCAAAAAGTAAGAAAAACAAAACACCCGTTATTTATGTTTTGTGATGTGATACGGGTATAAAATATTTTTTTCTTTAGTATATGGAGTATAGGTACCCAACCTATCACATCAGGTTTCAAAATGAAAAGTGTTTATTGAATTTTTTGAAATCATAAATTAATAAAACAAAACTTCATTTTTCATTGAAAAAGGTATTTTTTTTCGAACGATTGGCATTCCTATTGTAACCGGATCTCGCAGTATCCCTCTGAAGACACCAACAGAAGTCTGCAAGCATGGGTGGATACATAAAAGCGATATTTTTACGATTAACTGCAATCAAATGGCCCAAAAAGTAGGAAAAACAAAACACCCGTTATTTATGTTTTGTGGTGTGATATGGGTATTATGGGTATAAAACATTTTTTTCTTTAGTATATGGAGTATAGGTACCCATCCTATCACATCAGGTTTCAAAATGAAAAGTGTTTATTGAATTTTTTGAAATCACACAAAATTAATAAAACAAAACTTCATTTTTCATTGAAAAAGGTCTTTTTTTTCGAACGATTGGCATTCCTATTGCAGTATCCCTCTGAAAACACCAACAGAAGTCTGCAAGCATGGGTGAATACATAAACGCGACATTTTTATGATTAACTGCAATCAAGTGTCCCAAAAAGTAAGAAAAACAAAACACCCGTTATCTATGTTTTGTGATGTGATATGGGTATAAAACATTTTTTTCTTTAATATATGGAGTATACCCAACCTCAAACACTATCTGAACTTTCTGTGAATTTTTTAGTGTTGCATAGTGTAATTTACTACGTGCATTGTGTGTGAAAATCGCGTAAATTCCAAATTCCTCGTCCGGTGGTGAAAGATTGTGGAGTACGTCGGTCAAGTTTTGTAGGATTCACACTTCAAGAGGATTTCATAATAATTTTCATTATGTTGCAAAATAAATTAATTTCGTGTGGAATTTACTCGGCAAAATTTTGGGATCACATTATTCAATTTAGCAAGGATGACAGACAAATTTTGGGTAGTTGTGTGTCATCTACATAATAATCTTAAAATATGCATGGAATTATACAATAATCAGTCTATTTTTGGGGATTATTTACCTAATAAAATCGCCAACAGGCAGACAGCCAAACGGAAAAGCAAGATCTGTATTTTTGTATTGTAAAAGCTATGAACCACTCGTCAAATACCACATGATCGAAAAAAAAAGTGAAATTTGAAGAAAAATGTACAAATTACCTTGATGATTTTAACGTTCTACTTGTTTAAATTAAGATTAAACAGTGCTTCTCAAGGCTTTTTATTTAAACCATTGATTGTGGTGTCCTAATTTGAATTCAAAACAAAGCCGCGAAACTGCATTTACATAATTTGAATTTGAAAAATAAATTAAGAAAATCGTTAAACAAAAACAACCATGTGCAGAGATCTTCAAGGTCGATTTATAAACTTGCCGTTGACGTTGGAAGATAAATATGAAGCAAAGGTATGCGTCGTTTATATCATCCGTTGACGTTGCCGTTGACATCGGATTTTCAACCAATCAAATTGCGGTGGTGTGCAGTGCTGCCAACTTGAAGCAAAATCCCTTCAGGTAGAGGGGACATTTATCTGGTTAACAGCAGTAATTCCACCAAAATCAAATTTTGATAGAAATAATAATGTCCAGATTTTGTACTTACGCTCCTCGGTCTGAAAACGAATGAAAAATTCATCACGACGAATGGGTGGGGATTCTCTTTTGATTTTCTTTTTTAATTAATACATTTAGTTTCCTTTGTATAGTTTTATTCTATCATTTATGGAAAATCATATTTGATTCAAGCTTTACTGTCATTTTGGCACATTTCAAAAATCTATTTTGTCAAACGATCGATGCCTTTGATATTATTAATATCCGACAGATGTGACACTACTCTCAGTAAATTAAGGTTATCTAAATAAAGCACATTTTACAAGTTATGACATTAGTAAATGACAACTGCCCAATATTTTTTGAATGAAACTGTATAACACGATTACTTAAGAACATATTTCACATGGTAATTTCTCGTTGAAAAACAAGGCTTTTACAATTAACGTTCGCCTCTCGGCTTGCGACGAATAAAAACATTCATCAGAATTGAACATGTTTAAAATGGAAAATTTGTATAAAGAAATATAGATTTTGCAATTAGGCCCCGCCCCATAATTGCAAAATCCATATTTCCGTCCAGACATGTACCATTTTAACCATGTTCTAAGTTTCTTGTTGTGAAAAGATGGCTATGTATGTTAAGAAAAAAAGGCAAAATATAAGCCCCGCCCACCCACCCTATCTCAATTGTGATGATTTTTTTATTCTTAGAAACGTAAAACATGTTTAAAATGGTCAATTTTTGTGAGGAAATATGAATTTTGCAATTAGGCACCACCCCTAGGTCTGCCAACGAATGAAAATTTCATTACTATTTAGATCAGGGCAGGTATGGGTGGGGCTTAATCTTTGGCTTTAATTTTTTCTAAATGTACTTACATAGTATTTTTTCAATAACAGGATACTCAAAAACTTCTTACATGGTAACTTCTTGTAGAGAAGTAACTTAGGGATTTTGCAATTAAATTTTGTTCCTTTGGCTCTCGACGATTAAAAAAAATAATCACAATTGAGCTAGGGCGGGTGGGTGGGGCTTATAAAGGTGTTTCAAAATGATTTTCATCTAGTTAGCTTTGAAATAGTTTCAACTCCTATCTTTCCCTTGATGAAAATCTGCAACCATAGGCGACTAGATGAAAATCATTTTGAAACACGTTGTATTTTGGCTTTTTTCTTAATATACGTGGTCGTCTTTTCAGAACAAGAAACTTAAAACATGTTTCAAATGGTAAATTCTTGTAGACAAATATCGATCTTGCAATTAAGCCCCGCCCCTCGATCTGACAACGAATGAAAAATTCATCACAATTGAGGATTGAGATCGGGGCGGGTATGGGTGCGGCTTAATCTTCGCCATTATTTTTTTCTTAATATACATAGTATTCTTTGAACAACACGATACTCAAAAACATGTTTTTAATTTGTCGTAGGAAAATAAGGATTCTGCAGTTAAGCTCCGCCTTCTTGCCTCACGACGAATAAAAAAAAATCATCACAATTGAGATAGGGCGGGTGGGCGGGGCTACATGTTGCCTTTTTTTCTTAATATGTGTAGACTTATTTCGTCAACAAGAAACTTAAAACATGTCTAAAATGGTAAATTTTTGTAGTAATCAACTTAAATCCGCCGCTTTTCTTTTACAACGGTACTGTCAACGGCAACTTGGCAACGGAGTTTATAAATGACAATTTTCAGCTCTAAAAGCAACGTCAGCGGGAACGGCAACTGCAACGGGAACATAAACGTCAACAGCAAGTTTATAAATTCCACTTCACTTAAGTTGGTAGTTCGTCTAGAAAATTAGGGAATGTCATTCTTTAAGTTGGTAGTTGATAACGAGGGGAAAATAGACTCGTTTTGGTTTTGATGTGTCATTTGTTGTATATAGTCTTTGCCATTTCTATTGAAACACCACCTGTTGATTTTGCCTAAAATTTAGCAATTGCTAACAGTTTTCGGTTGATTGACAACGGCTTTTAGTTAGAAAATTGTGTGAATATGAACGTTGCCAAATTTACGATCAACAAGTGGTGTTTCAATAGAAATGGCAAAGACAGTATATGACTTGTTGATTTTCTGGCAGGTTTAATATTTTGTTTGAGGTCTAATATTCTCTGTTAAAAATTTTTTGCGGCTTGAATTGAACATTTATTCTTGAAGGCGTCGCACAATGCAAGCATTTCCAAGACCAGCTGATTTTGATTTTAATTGTGTTGAATGTTATTTTTTGTATGTGATGTGGGTGTTTCGGGTTACGAGGTAATCTATGAATGCGATTTGGTATAATCAATAACTTGAATTAACACGTAATTTAACATCACGTAAATTCTTTGCTGGTTGAAATTCTTGATAGAGTGTGGCGTAATTAAGTAATTGTAATACCTACTCATTCAGTCATGGTTATAAATTCGAAGGAGATAGAATTAAACTTATAATATTCAAAAATTTGCATCGATTTAGAAGATTTGATTTGATTTTGAAAGCTAGGCAGTTGTTTTTGTATCTGAGAACTAAGGGGTCTTCAACTTGGCCAAAGAGCACTTAGTCACATCTTTTTTTGCTTTTTTTGTTAGAAGATTTTTGTCCTCTAGGTCTTTCCGCCTTAAAAAAAAAAACACAACGTAGCGTTCCACTTTTGTTGACGACCACAGTTCAACGCCAAAGTTTGAATTTTCGCGGGTTTTAAAATTTCGTTCATATGTCAAATTTTGGCGGGATGTTTGGGTTATCACACCATAAATTCTATTTAATGCAGAATATTATGGATTTTTCAAGTACATCCAATAAAAGAAGGTTGAAAATTATTTAGATAAAACCTCCCTTACTCCTAAAATGTACTAATCTAATTTTCTTGAATGTTTAAAAGTGACGTAGTACCAACTATTACACTATTCATAAAAAAGTTCCACATTAATCCACTTGGTACTTTAGGGGGTAACCTATAGAATAAAATCACCATTAGATGGCAGATGACAGATGATAGAGGACAGACACACAGAAACATATTTTAGAAGTTATCAAATGTCGAAAAAACATGGAATTATTAACTTAATTATAAAATTAAGTGATTCCCTGGCTTACCCTTGGAAAGTAAAAACTTTTAAAACATCTTTTTTCTATTTTAACTAGACGTCGCTAAAATTCTTCTACTTTAAAACGATTTCAACTTAGAAATTGAATTTATAATGTTCCTTCGAGTTAACTACGTAATTGTTTCAGGTTTATATGACATTATAAACGTTTTCTTTAAAAAATTTCCATATAGAATATAAAAATACTCAATTATAATGATACTCGAGAAAAGACACCTTTGACGTTAGTGCGACAGATTTAAGGGAAACTGACTCTTATCGCAGAATACATTAATAAGCCGCGAACTGAATACAGTACACGGTGAAAATGAGTAAGTGACCGTTGAGGTACGTAACATGACGGTGCAAAGTCTAAATTTATTTTGGTACTTCGCTTTTGCTTGCTTGTTTTTGTTAATACTTTCTTTCTCGAAAAAAAAAAAAAAATAAATAGAAATCGGATGCACAAGCCATATGTATGGGATGAATAGTCATTAAGGATTCATTCATTGTGTGCCAAATTTACTCCTGAAATAAATCAATTACCTACGTTGTAAATATATCTCAATGTGTCGGAAAATTCCTAACTTCGCAGCAAAATACGTTATTGATTTGAAAAGTTAGACGAAATAAAAAGAAAAATATAAACGGAGAATGCTCCGGATATGGTTTTTCTACTCTACTGGGATCTATATTTCCTACATCTCTGATACAAAGTAAAAAAAGAAATAGCTCCAAGCTGCGACCATGCGGAATTCCCGGCTTGTGTTTGTGTTAATCTGAACGTAATGAAATTTCCCAGTTTAACATTTCGTTAATCTTCAGGGTCGAATGTTAATAGCTGTACTGTTTTTAAATTTATATCATTTGATAGTAATACAGACACTAATTCAATAATTCATCCAGTATACCAACTCTAGATCAGTTTCATAGAATTTGCTGCTATTCTTAGAAAAATAATTCCATAAATTCCGGCAAATTCTAATCGTAGCACGTGTTGTTTTTCTCACATTGTCAGTGTTGCAACTATGATTAACACTAAATCATTTTTATTATTGTGACATGGTTATTAATAACCTACAAGGCGTAACCAAGCCAGAAAATCAAAATTCAAGTCAAAAATCGTCAAAAAAAATCGAATAGGGACGTCACATACGACAAAATCAAACATAGAAAAACGTATCTTTTATTTATTTTATAACACAGTTTACATTAAAAAATACCTATCACAATGATTGGTTGTAAACGTAAAATGAAATATGCACTTCCTACGGAACACTAAACCAAAAATTATTGACCTTTAAGATACTCATCAAAGAGGAACAACGACAAAGACCCATCCGGTCCACTGAGCATCGACTTCAAGTCAGTAACGTAACCAGCCAGTTTGCGAATATTCTTGGCTTGATGGTGCACGAATTCTTCTTCAATGTACGAAGAAATCTCAGGGTCGTGTTTGCCGTCGGTCCTCCGACTGGCCTCATTGTGGACCTTAAAAGCTTCAAGCGCCAGCTGCTTCTCCTTATCCAAAGCCTTAGCGATACTCTGAATTTCGTATCCTTCGTAGACGTTGGGTTCCTCGGTGTTCAGGAAATCTGGTGGTGTGAACTTCATGCTACCACCTCGAGTGGTCACGTGCTTGATTAGCTCTATAGCGTGATCCCATTTCGCATCGGATAAGTCACGGAAGAGTTTCTCGAAACCGGCACGGTTCTTTTGGTAATTTCCGTAGTAGGTTGACATTAGAAGGTACTCCATTGAACGAACGATGTGGCTGTTGGCGAAGCCAATGAGGTGTCTTAAGACGACGTCGATGTGACCGTAGGAGGCGGTACATGTTGATAGGTCCACGGGAAGAGCTAAAAGGAAGGATTTTTGAAAATACGCAAACATTTTAATATCAAGAAGAATCCAGAAATTAAGCTTCTTTCTGGCACCTCTAACTTCCAAATTGGCTCTGGAGCTTACTTTCAGGATTACCCTCGTAATCGTGTCAAAAAAGATGTAACTATAATTGAAAAATTACTGGCACCAGAAGCATTAAGAACATAACTCCTGAATAACTGCTAAATACATGATCTGAAAATATTGTTTATTCCTCGTCGTCAATCTTGAAATCTATTATCGCAAAATCAAAGTTAATTCATCACATGTCCATCAAGTTGTGTCATGTGTCAACTCAAAGTGTTCACGGTTATCTTAATCCGTGACTTAGAATTTAAACATCTTGTAGTTTCAACATGTTACTTAGAAACATCTTATTTTTCCACTCGAATTAAAAGTAATTATGAAAAGTTTGACATTTCAAGATCCATCACAACGAGTACAGAGTCAGACAAATACAATACCATTTAAACGTTTCATAACAACGAACACAGAAACTAGAAATAACAAACAAGACACTTCTAACGTCAGTTCTGTTTATTTTTGCAACATACGCATAAAATACAGTAAACAATGTTCTTAAAAAGATCGATGACGCACGATCTTTCAACAAATTTTTAATCTAAATTTATTCCAAAAATCGCGTGTTGCGAAACACTCGTTTTTAATCAATAATTCAACTTAGAATAAGGTCCAGACTACCATTTTGAACACAAACGTCACACGTGACTTGACCTTGACCGTTTCCCCACCGGACCATACTCAAATGTGCGACCTTAGAAACCGTCTGATGGCTGCCATTTTGAATAGAAACGTCACACATGATTTAACCTTGAATTTTTACACAATGCGCTAGACAGTGGACAGAAACTTTGATCTAAGCTATTTTTTTATAGCAACACTCGTAATATTTCGGGTCAACGTATGATAAAGCTTGTCAATGCTTGACAATGACAGAACAAAACGTGTTTGTCTCGGTTTTCGGTTAGGAAAATACTGTTGCACTTAAAAATGATCGATTTGTGTGATCTGATTCATTGCAATAAGTACAGACATTGGATCAGAAAACATGATAAACAAATTTGTTTTAGGACTCTAAACTTCCTGTACTTGTTTAGATCTGAGTATTATAAATCATACGAAATGGAAAGCTTGAATCAGATCCAATCGAGATAATCTCTATGGAATCTATCCTCTTGATAAGTAACACTTTGTAAAATATATACAATGTTGCAAATAGAACGAGATAAAATCAGTGATCATTACTCAATTGTTATCGAGAGATATTTTGAGTTGCGAAGTGTTCTGACATAAGGTAACCACTCACACATGCACATCATTGGTAGTTATCTAAACACGTGACCCCATGATAACTTGCTTCACATAAGCGAAAATTAACAGATGTTCTTCTTATAAATATTTTTTTGTATTAAACACAACAGTCTAAAGGCATTTCTAAGATTTTTCTTTTTTATAAAAACGTCATAGTAACAAGTTTTACGTTGGTAACAGCTTTATACGAACGGTAAAAAAATTGAAGCTAACCTTAGCTGCAATGACATTGGGTGTTAACGGTGCACACTAAAAGCTTCCTAGATATTTATAGCAGGTTAAGGAAATTAACTGAGAACCTTATGTTGGCCTTACGAGAGAGAGAGGAATCATATCAATATATTAAACAAGGAGAAATTGTGAACCAATAGTAAAAATTACATTTAAAGTTACTACTGTCAAAAGTTATAATTGAACAAACAAAATTAAAATAATTGTACGTTGTTGGCGTTGACTTTCAAACGTCTAGTAAACTAGGTATAGAAATTATAATTTTTTTTCCCACTCACCCAGCGTTGCCAGATATATCATTTTTTTTGGAAATTTACCAATTTTGAATTATTCGCAATAAATCTACTGTCCATTTCTAGGGATAATTTTTTCAAATTTCGTTGTGTAATTTTGGTTTCAAAGAATGTAAAATCCCGTCATAGTATTTAATATTTCAAGTGAATTAATAAATTCAATTCAATTAAATTACAACAGAACTTATTTCTAATCATAATTATGGTTTAGCTACACATAAAATGCTTCATAAAGCAATTGTAACTATGACGTCAATTGTCAAAACTTGTTTACACTTTGTGGATAGTTTCAGAAACAAAAAATAACACTTTTAAGTGTGTCAGATAACAGAACAACACAAAACTTTTACTTCGACGTTGCTATGCCATTTTTTGCTCGTCCGAAAGTTGAATGGACACCATCAAGTGAATTAAAGTGCAACAGTGTGATTCACGTCCGCTGAATAGTGCAGCCGGTTTGGTTACAAAAACGTCAGACAGTATATGAAACAGTAATGTGACGTGTTCATAACATAATTTTGTACTGTTAAATTTAAGCCAGTATTCATATTCTTCTTTTTTAAATGCGTTTTGATTAGCGAACAAATCGGTTGACCTTTCCGACTCAATAATCACAAAAATGCGCTGCATTTTTATTTAGTAATTTATGTTGCGATAAGTTGCATTTAATGAAAAACAAATGATAGTGAGTCCGAAGATAATTTTAACACCAAATCGAAGCGCAATTTAATCATATCGTAGTACTGAAAGACTACCGAAGTGTTGGCAACACCGCTTTTATTGTCATTACAGTTCAAGGACGTCAAGCGATTAACGTCATTTTTTCCAACAAAAATACATACATTGTAATATTTCAGGCTACAAATAGTTCACAAATAACAATATTGTAATTTAAACAAGAGAAAAATGTGTGCACACGATGCAATTTCCTATCAATACAAGCATTTTGCCTTAACCTCACTTTTCTGACATTTACTATCTTAAATATTTTCTACTTCCTTTAGAACTAATGGATGGTGTCTCGTGTGATTAAGTTTTATCTAACATTAATCACCCAGAAAGAGACTTCCCATTGTTGTTACCTATCGTTTGTATAACCCAGACTACACAAAAAGCATAAAAATCAGTCTGTTTTTTAGATATTTAAAACCAGTGCATACAAGATTATTAATCAACTAAGGTCACCGATAAGACTGTTCAACAATAAGCAACGTATTGCGTTTCTTACATAAAAACTACACCAAAGAAAACTTACGTGATTTGGCGGTGGTTCCAGAGCAAATCCCATCGAATTTCTTGTAGCAAGTGTCGTCTGCTGCATAAACAGCAACAAAAAGAACAGCGAAAACTACGAATGCCTTCATGATCCCTAGAGACAACGTAAATCAATCCTTAATTAAAAGCAAAACACCACTAAATACTTCGGGGCCCAATTTTACATACCTGGTATCTCGCCAGCGTAATCACGAATAACACAATAACAGAAAAGTCCCACAAAAACCAGTACTTTGTCCTTTAACTGCGCACTTACACCGCGAATTTGGCCTCTAATGACAAGCGCAATAGGCCACAGCGCATGTCTCCATGCCCCCAAAACAAAGAAAGTGCCTTGTCAAGGTTGGAGGGGCAGAAAATTCCCAGTAAAATTCGAGTGTTTTAGGAGGGAGGCGGTGTCAAAGTGTAATTCCGACTGCGTAAAACATCCGAGTTTATCGTTTCTTTGTACTTAGATTTTTTCGATAGTCACCTTCTGCACCAGTGAGTGTAAAGGCAGACTATAGAACGTTCAGGCGATAAAAGTTTAACAATTGTGTTCATTCCACTTAATTAAAAACAACAGATTAAAATGAAGGCAATAGTCGCATCCACTTTGTTGCTGTGCACTTTCGTCCTTGCCACAGGCGACCTACAATGTGAGTTAGTTTTTCTTAGTATTTCGTATGTAACTAAGGGGGCTTGCAGGTTCTCACACCGAACCCTTGTACCTGACCAACCCAAGATGGGACGACATGGTGGACCCCTGCGTCAACGTGATGAGAAAACAGATCAAGACCGAACTTAACGCCGCCATGCAATATCTGGCCATGGGGGCCCACTTCTCCAAAGACGTGGTAAACAGGCCCGGGTTCGCCAAGATGTTCTTCGAATCGGCATCTGAAGAGCGGCAACATGCCATCAAACTGATTTCCTACCTGCTGATGAGGGGAGAACTCGTCTCTGACGTCAGCAGCCTGATTGACACTAGAGCACTTTTTGAAAAGGTAAGTTCGCGAAATGACATCTAGCGGTAAAAAATAGCAACAATAATAAGTTTCACAATTGAATTCGATAACAAAAACACGCAATGTTTGATTTTCAGATCAACTGGACCAAGTGGGAATCAGGGTTAAGTGCGTTGAAAAATGCTCTTACGCTTGAGGCTCTTGTGACAAAAGACATCAAAAACGTTATTGAAGTATGTGAGGGACACACTAATAAGAAGCGCCAAAACCAGGAAGAAGTTAATGATTATCACTTGGTTGATTATTTGACTGGGGAATTCCTTGAAGAACAATATAAGGGACAGAGAGATCTTGCGGGTAAAGTATCGACCTTGAGCAAGTTTATGACTGATCACGGAGATCTTGGGGAATTCTTATTCGACAAGAAACTGCTCAAAGGTGATTTGTAAATTTTGTAATGATTAGTGTAAAGTAGATATAAACTTTTTCCCATTGTAACTTACATAATTCATGTGATAATGAAAATTCAGATTGTATTTGAGAGATTGTAATATCAGTTCTGTTATATGCGTTTTACAATAAAGTAATTTTTGAACAAGATGCTTCATTTCATGATTTCTGCGTAGTTGTAGCTCAGTTTGGAAGTTCCGATAAACATGAAGTACCTATATGACGCGTGATGTAATTCATACTCTTAAAAAATCAAATCGAATTTTGTTTAAATAAAAAGAATTTGCAACAGGTACATTTGTGAGTTAGGCAACCAATTATACAAGTTAGACTCATGCACTATATTAAGATGGCTGCTGATTCAGTGGTGCCAATCAAGTGAAAAAAAAATGGTCGAAAGTTGTTTCGACAGAGCTTCTCTCGCTCCTTAAGTACAATGAAACATATCCAGCATTTTCGAAAAATTATAAAATTTGATTTTGCAGATTTTGTATTTTTTGAGAACCCCTATTAGTTGAAATAAACATATGTAATGTTAAAGTATATGTAAAGAAGCATGCTACGCGTATGTTTCAAATAAGTTTTTACTTTATAAGATGTTGGGATAACGTCAATCATCATTTTTGCAAGTACACGTATTTTAACTTAGGTTTAACTTATAGCAAACTAGTTATAAGAATGAGAAACGATACTGCAAACAAAACTCAGGTGGTTGCTCTTTGTGCAGGTGGCTGTCTGGCTGCAAGTCATAAATTAGTGGAAAGCCCGGAAGTGGCCAGTCTCGAGATCACACATGTCAACAAATGGTCAGTCGAAGACGAAATCGTATTTTTTAATAATTCTAAAAATCTCACAAAAAAGTTGGTTAAATTTTTAGATATATTCGACTGAAAAAAAAAATTAGAAGTTCGTACAATATTGAAAAACATACATTACATATAAATTGTAAACTCTAAAATAAAAGTACCATTTTTGTATTAAAAATTGATCGAAGGTTATTTCGCTCCTTAAGTACAATTCAAGAAATCTCGCTTCCTTGAAAAACTAAAAAAAAAGTTTGTTTGTCTATGACATCCAATTTTCTTTTTAATGACATTATATATTTTTAAAATTCTTGTATTAGAACTTGTTTCTGTGACTTCATTAACGCACCATAGTTTTATGTTGAATTGTATCTGACGGGCGAGGGAAGTTTTGTTGAAATAACCTTCGACTAATTTTTTTAAATGTATATTGTGATAACCCAAACATCCCGCCTTAAAATGACGTGTGAAGAAAGGACGAAAAAGGACCAAAATGACGAAAAAGGACCAAAAGAACGAAAAGGACGAAAGAGACGAAAAATACGAAAAAGGACGAAAGGGACGAAAAAGGACCAAAAGGACTAAAAAGGACAAAAAGGACGAAAAAGGACAAAAAGAACGAAAAGGACGAAAAAAGACGAAAAAGGACGAAAAGGACGAAAAAGGACCAAAAGGACGAAAAAGAACAAAAATGATGAAAAAGGACCAATAGGACTAAAAAGGACCAAAAGGACGAAAAAGGACCAAAAGGACGAAAAGGAAGAAAAAGAACAAAAGGAAGAAAAAGAACGAAAAACGACAAAAAAGGACCAAAAGGACAAAAAGAACTAAAAAAGACCAAAAGGACGAAAAAGACGGAAAAGGACGAAAAGGACGAAAAAGAACAAAAATGATGAAAAAGGACCAATAGGACGAAAAAGGAACAAAAGGACGAAAAAGACCAAAAGGACGACAAGAACGAAAAACGACGAAAAAGGACACGTCTTACTCAGAATGTCGCAGAGTAAAGACGTGTTTTCGGGTCTCCCGACAATACCGTGTAAGAAGTGCAAAAGTCTGCCCATTACAGGGCTTAGATGTGTTAGATGTGGTTCTCTTAGCCACCCTAGTTGTGTCAAGCTTCTAAAAAATGTCAAGATAATAAGTGAAACTCAGATTGTTTGCTGTGATAGTGATGATGGCATGTCCAAAAACGAAAACAACTACTTGACTCCCCAACCAGTTGATGCATCAAGTATTAATAATAGTGATAATGATAACATCTTGATGTTAATCAATGTAGCAATGCAACCTTTGCTGCAAAAAATCGAAATGTTACGTAAGGAAGTATACGACTTAAAGGAAAACAACAAAGATTTGGTAAGACTATTAACTAATAATGGCAATGTTCCGAGTTTTGCCTCAAAGTTTCCATCAAAGCCCATTTCTGCTGATACAAATAAGTGTAAATACGAGGATTTGAATAAACCGGATCCGTCATTGAAAAAACAGATACCAGTTATAAGAAATGTAGATAAAGCGTCCAAAAGAAATGAAGATAACGAATGTATACAAAAATCAGCCGATGATACAAAACAAACAGAGCAAACTTTGGGGTCCTCTGATGAAGATGGACACTTTTTAGATACCGAAAAGGAGAATCCGTGGGTTGAGCCTAAACGTCGATCAAAGAACAAGAAAAAACCTCAATTTTCAATAACTGGTACATCTCAATATAACGCAGATGCTGGGAACAACTTCAAGTCCACATATGTCAAAAAAGCTTGGTATTATGTTGGAAAAGTGAGTCAGGAAACGGATATAGATGCTGTTAAATCTTACATTTGTGACAAACTTTCATCAGAAGACGTTACCGTGGAAAAACTTCCAGTAAAAGGTTCTTATCAATCATTTAGAGTTGGTGTATTGTTCGCCTTTAAAGATGTGCTTTTTAAAGAAGAATTTTGGCCGCAAGGTGTGACTGTGAGACGATTTAATTTCGCTTCTAAATCTTTTTTAGTCAAGACTACCGCATAAAAATTGGGGAAGGATCTATAAGCATGCCTTTAGACAATAAGGATAAGTACCATTTGGAATCTGTCAGTACCTTAATAATTTATTACCAAAATGTTCGTGGTCTACGGACAAAAGTACAGTCTTTTTACGATGAAGTTTGTGCATCTGACTTTGACTTTCTGTGTTTAACTGAAACGTGGCTGTCTGCTGATGTTGGTGATGCTGAGCTGTTTCCAATGTTTTACAACGTTGTGAGATGTGATAGAGCCTTTGCAGCTTGCGACTTAACAAGAGGTGGCGGTGTGTTACTTGCTGCTAAAGTCCGCTATCAGCTTATACCTCTTAATGTATCGTCAATAAGGTCTGTGCTTCCTATGATAGATTTTACCTGCTGTAAAGTGAAATTAACCAATAACATAAATATTTGTCTTTGTGTAATTTATATTCCTCCACATTGTCCAGTGGCTGATTTTGAGCTATTTTTTGAAATGTTAGAAGACTTCCTTATTGTGCTTAATGATGTCGACAAATCATTTCTCATTGGTGACTTCAATGTGCATTTCACTAACGAGTCGGATAATGATAGAAGGCTTATTATTATAAATAATTTTATGGAATTTTTTAATTTCACTCAGTTCAATAATATCCCCAATAATCATGGATTTATATTAGATCTTGTATTTTCTGATTTAGTATGTGGTGTAAGTAAATTTGATGAAGCATTTGTACCTGTTGACGCACATCATCCCTGCTTAGTAGTAAATTTGTCTTATGCACATAATCACTATAAAGAGTTTATACCAGATTTTGTACCCCGTACATATAATTTTTCAAAAGCAGACTTTGCTACTATGTACAAAATATTCTCAGAAATAGACTGGTCCTTGTTATATAATTGTTCTGATGTTGATGATGCGTGCAATATTTTTTACGATTTAATTTATTCCACATTTGATTATACAGTCCCGTATACTGTTTGTAAACACGACAAGGGATACCCTATCTGGTTTACCCGTTCAATAATTAGTAAAATCAAATTAAAAAATAAGGCTCATAAAAAATTCAAGTTAAGTAAGCAATCTGCAGACTATGAGTATTACAAGGCACTAAGATCTCAAGTAAAAACGATGATAAGGTTTGCATATGAAAATTATATTAGCAAAATTGAAGGTAATTTAGTTTCAGATCCTAAGACATTTTGGAACTACATTCGTGGTAAAAAAAGTCACACCAGGATACCTGGTCAAATGACATATAATAACTCTCAACTTGACAATGCTGATGCTATTGTTAATGCTTTCGCCCATTTTTTTCAAAGTGTCTATATTGAATCAAATTCAAATTCATGTAACAAACCATGTGATAAGCAGTCAGGTGAAAGTTTCCCGAATATCGCTGTACATTGCTTCTCTCTGTCAGATGTGCGCCTTGCCTTAAAGCAAGTTAAAAATAAAAAAACTGCAGGATTAGACTTGGTACCAGCTTATATAGTGAAAGATTGTTACAATATTTTTTGCGAACCTTTGCTGCATATTTATAATTTAATCTTGAAAACGTCAACCTTCCCCTCAATATGGAAAAAAGTTAAAGTTTGTCCAGTATTTAAAAGTGGAGATCATACTAATATTGTGAATTACCGACCCATTGCTATATTATCGAATTTTTCAAAAGTTTTTGAATCTATTCTTTATAAACACTTATATGCACAGGTTAAAAACTTAATTTCCCCTTGTCAGCATGGTTTTATGAAAAAGAGATCAACTGAAACTAACTTAGCTGTACTATCACAATACGTTGCCGAAGCTTTGAACCAGCGTGGCCAAGTGGATGTTTTGTACACCGATTTTCGGAAGGCTTTCGACACCATAAACTTCCTTATACTCATTAAGAAATTAGATCACTTTGGGTTTTCGGGAGGACTGTGTAATCTGTTTCTATCGTATCTTTCTGAAAGAGAGCAAGTAGTTGTTTATCAACAGAGTAGATCCTTGCCATTTTTCGCCACGTCTGGTGTACCACAGGGATCCAACTTAGGGCCCCTGTTGTTTCTACTGTTTATCAATGACCTTAGTGACATAATGGATAGTAACAGATTGTTCTACGCAGACGACTTGAAATTATACGCCAAAATTGATTGTTTTAGCGATTGCTTAAATCTTCAACATGATTTAGATAAAGTTTATAACTGGTGTTGCGAGAATTGTCTGTTTCTGAACATTGGTAAATGCAAGGTGATATCTTACAGTCGTAAAAGGCAGATTACTCAGTTTGACTATAGCATTAATAATGACTTAATACAACGTTGCTCGAAAACTACTGACTTAGGTGTGACATTTGATACTGAATTTAC